CAAGATTTACGTTAAACTAAAACCTTTTAAATATTTACGTTACCTTTTACACGAAATTTATTACAAATGAATATTGACAATGTAACCATCCTTAGGTTCATACACACATACACATATACATATATATATATTATATATATATTTTGCGCGCGCGCGCGCGTGTGTGTGTGTGTGTGTGTGTGTGTGTGTGTGTGTGTGTGCGTGTGGTGTGCGTGTGTGTGTGTGTGTATGTATATATATACATAAATACAAACACACACACACATATATACGTATATGTATATATATACAATATACATATACATACATATATACACACACGCACACACATATATATATGTGTGTGTGCGTGTGTGTGTGTAAATATATGTATATGCATATATACACATATATGTATAGGTACACACATATATATAAACATATACATACATATATATGAATTTATATGTATGTGTATATATACATATATATGTGCATATATGCAAATATACATACATACAAATATACATTATATATATATATATATATATATAATATATATATATATATAATATAATATGTGTGTAATATATATATATATATATATATATATATATATATATATATATATATTCCGTATATATATATATATATATATAAATAAATATATATATATATATGCATATATATATATATATATATATATATATATATATATATATGTCGAGATCATTATTTATTCGACATTTAAAAAGGTGCGTTGGCTTTAATTTCAGTGTTATAACCAATAAAGTAGATTATGATAATTATAAATTGTTGTGAGTTTAAATATTAACCTTTAATTTGGGGGGAATGAGTTTGTTATTTTAACAATTTCTCGTCAGACGAATCCTTGCCTTCCTCCTGTGTACAGGTAAGCTTAGTTCTGGTATTCAAAGTCGTGTTTTACCCCGATATTAAAGATTGCAATGCTTGATAAGTGTATTAACGAAATTGTTAAATCCCTTTGTATTGATCTATGATAACTGAGATGAATCCTTGCCTTCCTCCTGTGTACAGAGACAGAAATGATTGAGAAAATGCAGCAAGAACATGCCATAATGCTTTGTTGCCATTAGTTATTCAGTTATTTTAATGGCCCGTGGATACAGTAACAAAAGTAGTCGCAGGTGACAGTTCCAGTGGTATCAATGAATAGATTGAGAAGGAAATTAGTTATCAGAGTGAAATGTAAGAGAGGAAAATTGAAAAGATGAAAGGAAGGGGAACGATTGGCTTATGTCCTAGTAAAACCATTGTAAGAACATTGATAGACTGGGTTTCAGGGTCTCGATTCTGTCTCATGTACATTTTTTTTTTATCAAAATTATATTGATTCATAATAATAGGACAAGAGAGGTTATAGAGCTAACCTTAAACATTAATTAAGTTAGCTGAGAAATTCCTTGTTTAAATTATGTTTATCGCTAAAATTAACAAAATGATATGCCACCTGTTCATCCTTATTTTTTACTGAATAAAATATTAATGGTTAAAAATGTTTCTATGACCATTATAAAATTTGGTACACCAACATTGGAATGAATTCATTCCCAGACCCACAAGACTTATAGACCGTTAGGTTACGCTACCCAAGAAGATTTAACAGTGCAGTAAATGAAGTCAAAATGAGCCTACATTAAAATAAAAAGTATATATACATATATATATAAATATATACATATATATACACATATACACACATATATATACAAACATACATATATATACATATACACATGTATGTATATATCTATATATATATATGCATACATACATATATATACTTATTTATTTATATGTGCGTGTATATATATATGAATATGTATATATACATATTTATATATGTACATATATAAGCAAGTGTAAATTCTCTCATTGTCTTTTTCCGATTATTTTGAAATATACAGTTATCAGCAGATTCACATTTTTTTGCAAATTCTATTTTTTTCCCCGTAAACTGCTGATACTGAAACTATTTTAGAAGAAAAGTCAAAAGCTCCAGGTGCTTAGAGACCCTACCTCGGGGTGGCCGTGATACGTCGCGTACTCGTGGTCGGCGCCGTCGAAGGCCCCCTCGGGCAGGCCAGCGAAGACGATGTTGGCCACGTTTGTGTAGCCCGACGGAGGGGAGCTGGAGGCCTCGGCGGGGCGGTGAGACGGGTTGCGTTTCTGTTCGCCAGATTCCGGCCTGTACACCGGAGTGGCTGGCTTGGCGGGGATTTTATATTCGCTTTGCTTAGGACGGCTGGGTCTGCCTTGGGTTGGGATGGGTCGGACGTACTGGGCAGGGTCATAACCGGGGGCATACTTCCCCTGGCTTTGGTACGCACCGGCGAGATACTGACCCTGGTCGCTGTAATCGGCGTTTTGGATGTAGGCCGGGATGAGGGGCTGGTTGCGCTCAGCCTGCGGTACGGGAGCAGGGATTTCCCGGGCTCGGCTGAAACCGGACTGCCCGGAAGTCACCTGGAGAAGCGTTGCTGAGATCATCCACGTCACGAACAGCATCTGCAAACAGCGGCTTAACTCATCACACGGAAGTTAAAATGGATTCTTGATAACAATTCCTTGGTGTGGTTCGGTGCAAATAATCATAAGCAAGGAGGCAAACGCACACGCGCACACACACACACACACACACACACACACACACACACACATATATATAATATATATATATATATATATATATATATATATATATATATATATATATATATGTGTGTGTGTGTGTGTGTGTGTGTGTGTATAATACCACATAAATAAATAAACATATATATATATATATATATATATATATATATATATATATATATATTATATATATATATATATATGTATATTGTTTATCATTTATGTGTGTATCATATATATGTACACACACACACACACGCACATACATACATATATATATATTGTATATATATATATTGTTTATAAACACATATATGTTTTATGTAGTGCGTGCGTGCGTGCGTGTGTGTGTGTGTGCGCGCGCGTGCGGTCGCGGGTGCGGGCGTGCATGCGTGTGTGTGAGAAACACGGGAAGCAGCAGATGGTGGGTGAAATTCTTGATCTGATTGAACAGTTACCATCCAGCGAAATACTGGGTAGTTCTCAACCAAATAGACTGCAAGACACATAATGTAAAGAATGAAAAAGATAATAATAATAAAACAGGAAAACAGCTCTTAAACTGAGATGAAATGCCGACACCATGACAACAGGCCCATCTGAAAATCCCAGGACAGTGATGCAAGAGAAGCACCTAGCTGACTCAGGCATGTCCAAGGAGGAAAAACAATACCTTTTTCTGGTAAGGAAAGAGTACAGAGGTAAACAAAAAGCATGGAGTGGGGTCAGAAAACGGTTGAACCAGGTGACAAAGGAACAAAATGCCATTAAAAAGATTGTCTTCCATGGTGACTTTAATGTCATAGTGAGATCATGACTTTGCCTTCTGGTTTTAATAAAATCAACAAGAACTGGCAATCGCTAGTGAGGTTCTGCTCCTACAATGACCTTTGCATTACCTATTCCTACTTCCAGACAAAGTAACAATACAAAACGGCATAGAGACACCCTCCCTCAAAGCACTAGCACCAGCTGGGCATGGTCAGTAAGTTCGTACTTCTCACCTGCACATAAAACAATGCTGACTGAGACACTGACCATTAATTGGTGTGTTTCAAGATGAAGCTGCAACCCAAGAAGCTCTGCCACACTAAAGAGGAGGAAAACTTGCACCGACACCATGAAGATGCAGTATCCAAAGAAATTTAATTTGTCAAGTCCCAGGAAAAAACTGTCTTTAGACGAACAGCACTACTCTGCCTCAGAGCAATGGGGCCACTTCCTTCTGACTATTTAAAAAATACAGCCTTTGCGACCACTGGGGGAGAGATACAACGAATGGTTTGAATTCAGCCAAGTCCAGCGAGACTCCCCCTATTAAAGCAAATTGTGAAGATTCTTAAAGCACTTAGAGCTGCCGGGAATGAAGTGCAGTAGACTGTAAGACAGCG